AAAAAAAAAAAAAAAAGAAAAATCTCTAAAGCGCTGCTGGCTCTGTCTCTGTCCTGGCTTGTTTTATTTTCCTGCTAGAGGTAGGAAAAACCTTAACCCCTCATGCCAGTCACGCTCTCGCGCTGGTCTTGGGTCTTGCAGCAAATGGAGCTTCCAGGGAGGATGGTGGCTGTGGTCTGGGATGTCAAGAGAGGGATTTTATCAGCTGAAGATGGGAGGGAGGCTGTTCCAGGGCCGGGTTGCTTGTGTGCTCCTCTTCTTCAGTGTGATGGCGAAGGCAGACGGGAGCCGGCCCCATGCTGAGCAGCCACGCCTGCTAGGAGAAGTCAGGATCTGGAATATCCCAGGACCTTGGATGCTTATCTAAATTGGTCTTTAAGAAGTGCTCACGTCCCTGGCAGAAACTTGGCCCTGCAAAACAAAGTGAAGGCATCAAAATGGCACTCGGGTGGCCTGCGATTCCCCTGGAGCTGCTCTCCTCCTTTTGGTGGCAATCCTGTGTTTTCAACCGTTGCGGGGAGCTGATGCAGATGGGAAGACCCTTCCCTTGCCGCTTCCTTGCCCCACATTCCTGCTGGCTTCAGGACACGCTGTTATTACCGCTCTGCGCTCACTTGGTTCCCTTGTCCTCCTTTTTTACAAGCCGATGCGGCCCTTATTTGTTCTTGCGTCTAAAACAAAAGCAAATTAGTGCTGCAAAAGCTGAATTACTTTGTTTGTGTTCTGGTCTGTCGAAGGACCCCACGCAGTCGCTGCGCAGCTCCCTGCACGGAAAACTAGTGAATTGGGCTGAGTGAGAGCGCACAGGGAGACAGACGCACCCTCCGGGCATCCTGCCGTGTCCCAGAGATTCCCAAAAGGCAACTTAACTTAATCGATTTGACAGAAACTAAAACTGGAGCATAATCCCTACCATCCCTTTTCCTGCTGCATGCCTGCAGCACTCGGAATTTAGCAGTTTTTTTACAGTAAATTTTAGATTTCAGTTCAAACATGACAGCTGTCAATGAAATTTGCTGCTCACAAGTGATTTCAAGCACATTGCCTTCTRGTTAGTCTGTACCCATTCCCTTGGACAGGATGTTTATAACATCTAGGGAGTCTCTCATGTTACTTAGTGCAATAATGTGGCTCCACGAATAAATCCATTTCCAGTCTGTTGGTATCGCATGTAACAAATGAGAGCTGCTAAATGCACTTGTCACTGGCGCTGGGAGCAGGAGAAACGATACTTGCAGAATTACACATGTTCCTATAATGATTATAAATTATAATGAATCATATTTTCTTATGTTTACAAATGACTGTCTGATAGCCAGCGCCAGAGCGGGTGATACGGCCTGGCTGATCTTGGCGTTTTTGTGATTTCTGAACAGAAACGAGAACTGGAAAATTCCCGTGTGGTGGAGAGCAGATATGTCTAGTGTAAGTGTAAAGACTGCGGTGCAGCACACGTGTACCTATCTTATACATACGGAGATGGCAAGGCTCGCAGTAAAACCATTACAGTGTGTGATGGCATCAGCACTAATTAGAGCTAGATCCAGCCAGTTCCTCTCTGCCAAAGTAAACTGGAGTTATCTCAATCTCAGATTTCATATTTCCTCTTTTCTCTTTCGGGGGAGGAATGTCTCTGTCACAAGGTATTATACCCTGAACCGAAAACATCTTTAAAAGGCTCTCACAAAAYGGTCCAAATTAACATTCTAAAATAATTGTTGCTGTTAGCTCATTATCTACACATTGTCCGGCAGATCTAGTGGTAGTGGCAGGCCCAAATATTTAAAGCATTTTGCCCATAAATGGGAAACAGTTGGAGTGCAAATACTGCAGAATTCAGATCTTATAACATGTAATGAGAGCAGAAAGTAGAAAACTAAGTTAGCAAAGAAATTTTAACTATGGGGCATATTGTTTTCAGGCATAATATACAAAGGAAAGTGGGCCAAGCTCAATGTGAGCTGCAGGTTTTCCTGGCGGTGGCTGCGTGCGGAGGGAAGGTGCCCTCACCTTGTGCCCCTCGCGCTGGTTTTGGAGGACGCGCAAGGAGGCAGCACTGCAGCAGCGGGTGTGGGATGGTGCCTGTGCCGGTGCCGCTCCACACCAGGACATGGGATGAGTGCCGCATTCCCGGGATGGACAGGCAGAGTGGGACTGCACAGCCCGGTGACCTCCTTGGTTTTGGTGGGAAGAGCAGGAGGCCCGGGGTGGGATTCGGTCTTCCAAACCCGCCTGGCTGCCACCCTGTGCCCCGTGCTCTGGGTGTCCCTGCTGGAGCAGGGGCTTGTGCTGGATGATCCCTAGAGGTCCCTTCCAGCCTCAASCACCCTGTGATCCTGTGGGGTGCAGGGAGCGGTGCTGCTGTGGTGGGTACCGCCACGGTACCGCGTAGCCTCGAGCCCTGGCAGCAGCCCGCACCAAGGCGGCCTGTCCCAGCCCTGCACGAAGCTGCCGCCGCGGCACCGCTGGCGTCGGGAGCTGCGACCCCTCTGCATCCCCAGGGCAGGGAAGGGCTGGGCTGGCGGCCGCGAGGCGCCCGGGCCAGGGCGCCCAGCCCGGCAGAGCGGGAGCGGGCGCAGGAGCGGCGCGTTCCCCCGGCTCCCTCCTCACTGCCCTCCATGGCGGAGCGGGCGGTTCGCACTGCCGCTCCCCGCGGCGGCCGAGCCCGCCGGGCTGCCCGGCAGAGCCGGCGCTGGAGCGCTTGCCTGGGCAGCTCGCGGCGGCCCCGCTCCGCGCCGGGCCCGGGGCCCGGGG